TGATGATGATGATGGTGATGCTGATGGTGATGGTGATGATAATGATGATGGTGATGTCGCCGCTGCTGCTGATGATTAAGATGATGACGATGGTGCGGATGATGACGAGGATGAGAATGAGGATGAGGACGGGGATGAGGTTGAGGATGATGATGTTGGTGATGCTGATTGTGGGTGCGGATTAGGATGATGCTCAAGATAATGAGGATGATGATCATGCTGATCATGATGATGTTGATGATGATGATGATGATGATGAGTGGGCTGCTGCTGCAGATGGTGATTATGATGACGACGGTGCTGATGATGATGATGAGGACAAGGATGAGGATGATAATGATAATGATGATACTGATGATGAGGATGCTGATGATGATAATGACAATTTCGATGACGACGATGACGAAGATGAAACTGATGATGATGATGATGAGGAGGAGGACGATGACGATAACGACGATGGCAATGGCGATGATGACGACGATGCTAATGATGAGGAGGATGATGCTGATGATGAGGATGATGATGATGAGGAGGAGGATGATAATGATCATAATGATGATGCTGATGATGAAGCTGCTGATGATGATAATGATGATTCTGATGATGAATGCGCTTCTGCTGCAGATGATGATGATGATGATGATGATGATGATGATGATGATGATGATGATGACGACGGTGCTGATGATGATGGGGATGAGGACGAGAATGAGGATGAGGATGAGAATGATGATGATGATAAGGAGGAGGATAATGACAATGACGATGACGACGATGACGATGATGAAGCCGATGATGATGATGATGATGATGATGATGATGATGAGGAGGAGGAGGAGGAGGAGGAGGATGATGGATAATGACGATGACGATGACGATGATGACGACGATGCTGATGATGATGATGGTGATGATGATGATTACGAGGAGGAGGAGGATGAGTACGATGCTGATGATGAGGATGAGGATGAGGATGAGGATGAGGATGCTGCTGCTTATGGTGATAATGATCATAATGATTCTGAAGCTGATGCTGATGCTGATGCTGCTGTTGTTGATGCTTATGATGATGATGAGGATGATGATGATGATTATCATGATGAAGATGTGGATGATTATGTTGATACTGATGATGATGATGATGATGATGATGATGATGATGATGATGATGATGATGATGATGATGATGATGATGATGATGATGATGCCCCGTGTATCACGACGTATGTTGCCATTTGGGCTCAGCCGTTCGGCCCATGTTTTAACAGCGTTCTGGCGCAGATGCTGGCCCTTGGGCCTTACGCTCTCGACGCCTCGCGCCAGCAGCTTCGCCGACGGCCTCGCCGAAAACTTTGCGGACAGTCCCGGCGACGGCCGGCGGCCTGCAGGCCGCAAGGGGCCCAGAGAAGGGAACGATTTACTCGGGCCGAACGAAAGGGGGGGATAGGGAAAGGGGGGTCTACGAAATCTGCTGCATGCAGCTGGTTTCGGCCCCACCGCCGGGCCCAGTCCTCGATACATGGGCGCCTCCAGGCGCCGGGAGGCGCTGGGAAAATCAGCTACGTGAGCTGCTTCTCAACCCCCCCCTTTGCTATCCCCCCCTTTCGCCCGGCCCGACAGGGGCACAGAGAAGGGAGCGATCCACGCAGAGACCAATGCCAGGACCGAGCGGCACGGCGAACTCCGCAGGCTCCGTGTTCTCGCCCTGCACGGCTCCGCGGGGCCGCGCCCACTCGGCCGCGAGCACCAGCGGCGCAGCGGCGGGGTTGCACCCTCGCGGCTCCGCGAGCCGCGGCACGCCCCGCGCGGAGCGGCCTGGGTCGGCCAGGGCCTCGGCAGGGGCCCCCGCCGCAGGGCGGCCACCGACGGCCGCAGAGCCAGCGGGGGAGGCCCTGCACTCGGGGCCGCTGCTCCGGAGGCGTGGCGGTGCCGGCACGGACAGCGAGCCTCTGGCGGGCTCCGGGGTCTCACCCTCGCGGCTCCGCGAGCCGAGCCCTGCCCGGGCCACGCGGTCGGGCTTGGGCCTTCGCGTGGCTCATGCCTCCCCGCGCCTGGGGGGACCCCCTTCCCGAGCCAGCACTGCTCGATTCGGCGGTGCCCTCGTGCGGCCGGGCGGGCCCCGGCGCTCGCAGCGTTCTGGGGGGGCCCAGATTCTGCCTCCGCGGAGCGAGGTGCGGTCGGATGGACCGGCGCTCGCAGCGTCCAGGGGGGCCCCGTGTTCCGCCTCCTGACCTCCCGTGCTCCCGCCTCGCTCCCACGGCAGAGGGGGGCGCCGAAGTTCTTCCTGGGAGTGGCAGGAGCCCTGCGCACAGGACGCACCGCCCTCGCACCACTGTCAGGGCTTATCGAGAATACGCCACCGTGTGTCAACACGATGCGCATCCGTTTCTTCTACCGACGTCTGTTGCCCATGGGCGCGGACGCTCGGCCGATTGGAGCAGCCCGCACACCACCCGGGGGGGCGTCAGGTTCCTGGGGCTGGCAGGACCCTTGCGCA